TATGTCCTTAATGTATTTCATGTAGCAATAGACTTTTGAGGTTCATGACATTGATGTAATTTGATTACAATAATTGTTATGACAATGTTCAAAAAAGCCCTAAGGCAATGATTTTTGCCCTAAGACAAGAGGTTCAAAACCGGAGTTCCTAATCCCCCTTTTGAGCTTCTACCACCGGAAGAAATCACTATAAACAGGAATCAATAAACTGTCTAGAATACACTTTCAAAGGCACTCAGAAAACCATATAAGGTTTCATCAACACTAGCCTTTCAATCTATACAAATGTTCACTCAAGAATACAACTCTCAACACACATAAAACCACTCAAGATCTATACAAATTTGATACAACCATATCAAAACAACTATTTGCCTTTTTGAGTGAAAGAGAGAAGAAGATGTAAAATCACAGAGACGAGCAGAGAGAGAGAGAGAGAGAGTGAATGAATAATCACTCAAACCCTAGGCAAATGAACTAATAATAGAAGTCACTCGAATGTTTCCATCCAACGATAATTGGGGCAATATTTGGGCTGTCCAAATTCAACAACGGAAATCGCATTTCTCCAAAACACGCTTTATTTCAAATAAGGCATCAGTCACCAAGTAATCAAAGAATTCGGCCCAAACAGCCCACTTAAGGTTGGCAAAACCAGCCTAACAAATAATAACCCAATCAACAAAAGAATGATTATTATTGTGCCACAGTCTCCACCTTGGTACAATGATTCTAGTTTTAGTTATTGTGATTTCTCCAAACATTGCATCATTTGTTCTTATTCTTGAAAAACACAAATCAACAAGTGTTAAGATTCAACTGACTGAAATAGTCTAAAAACTTGTTTAAAAGCAGCACTTTAGTACCAATATCAGAAGGGTTAAAGTAAGTAGAAATTTTTTTAAGTTTTACAACACCTTGAGAGATAACATCTCTAATAAAGTGATATTTAACATCAACATATGTAAACCATGATTTCTACTCAAATATATGACAAATTGGCTTTCAGAATATAAAACAACATCTTCAACAAAATCAAATTCATTTAAAAGCCCTTCCAGCCAAATTCATTCTTTTATAGCATCAGTTGCAACTATATATTCTGCATCAGTAGAAGATAATGCAACAATCTTTTGTAGTTGAGATTTCCAACTTATGCAAGAATTACATAAAGTATACACATAGGTAGAAGTCGATTTCTTGTTATCTCTATCACGTGCATAGTCAGAATTTGTATAACCCCTCAAAATTATTTTCTATATTGTATTCCCAAATCACAAGTTCCCTTAATGTATCTAAGAAGCAATTTCATAGCTTCCCAATGAGTTTTACCTGTATTTGACATGTATCTACTCAATACACTTATTGAGAATGCTAAATCAGGTCGAGAACAAACCATTAGATACATAACA